TACCATGGAAACTCCACTGATCAGTTTCCTGGCAGTGAGGTCACATGATCATGTGAACAGGCAGTGACCACGCATCTGTGGTTGAGTTGCTGGGTTTTTTTGCCTTGATTTCAGTGTTAATTTGAGTTTTATCGTGAAATCAGACGCATTAAGTCAGTTTCACTGTGACTAATTAAACTGCATTCGTTTCTGAAGTTCTTAAAGCTGCAGTGTTTCATTCCTGTGTTTACAAACCCCATCTGTATTAGTGCATCTCTATTCACATGTGTTTGTATAGCGCTTTTCACAACACACATCATTCCAAAGCAGCTTTACAGAAATGAAAAGTTTGCAGTGATCTGTTATCAGAGGGAACTGTATTTCAGAAATGTAAATTAATCTATTAATGTAAATAATGTAATAATTTAAGAGAGAAACAATGAGCTCATTGAAGTAATGAATACTTGTTTGTTCACAAAGGATTATGATTTAGAATATTAACAAATGCTACTTTTTAATTTTTTGTGCATCCGCTGCAGTATTTCCTCTGTGAAGTGACATACCGTGTGTGTGTGTGTGTGTGTGTGTGTGTGTGTGTGTGTGTTGTAGAGTGTGGAGCAGCGTTCACCAGTAAACTAGAGGGGATGTTCAAAGACATGGAGCTCTCTAAAGACGTCATGATCCAGTTCAAACAGGTGTGTGTGCACAGAGACGCAGTATACACACACACACACTCAGCGGCCACTTTATTAGGTTCACCTGAGTAGTTCCGGGTCGGACCCCCTTTTCATTCTCCTCTGACCTCAACAAGGCATTTTCTCTTGTTCAGATCTGTGTGTGTAAATCGCAGTCGATCAGCAGTTTCTGAAACACTCAGACCATCCCACGTTCAGTCACTTAAATCACTTTCTTCGTCAGTTTGGTGCTCCGTCTGAACTTTAGCTGATCGTCTTGATCATGTTCACAGGCATTGAGTATCTTCCCTGTGATTGGCTGATCAGATATTTGCGTTAACGAACGGTTAAACAGGTGTAGATAATGAAGTGGCCGCTGAGTGTATATACGTGTATGCATAAATGTATAGAAGTAACATTTAAAGCTGCAGTCCGTAACTTTTGCACTAAGCTTGCAGATGCAGACACACACACACACACTCACACACTTTTATCTAGATGTGTAAATAAGATTGTACCGCAGACCCTGCTGTGAGGTGTTGCATCTCTCCAGCTCCTCACACGTGGTTTAATGTCTCATGAGATCAAGTGTGTTCGGGCGGCGTGTGATATGAGAGAACTAATGCTGTGTGTGTGTGTGTGTGTGCAGTACATGCAGAACCAGACTGATCCCAGCAACATCGAGCTGACCGTCAACATCCTGACCATGGGCTACTGGCCCTCATACATCCCGATGGACGTCCATCTGCCCGCTGAGGTGTGTGTGTGTGTGCGAGTGAGTGTCTGTGTAAGTGAGCGAGTGTGTGTGACTCATGTTTGTGGGCGGAAGTGTGTTTTTGTGGGAAACAAGGTGGACAGATGAGTGTGTGTGTGTGTGTGTGTAACTCATATTTGTGGGCGGAAGTGTGTGTTTCGGGTAATGAGGTGGACAGATAACTGTGTGTGTGTGTGTGTTTCAGATGGTGAAGCTTCAGGAAGTGTTTAAGCTGTTCTATCTGGGGAAACACAGCGGGCGTAAACTGCAGTGGCAGCCGACACTGGGTCACGCGGTGCTGAAGACGGAGTTCAAAGAGGTGAACCCACGACACACACACATATCAACACTCTTCCAGTCAAAAGTTTGGGCTAAAAAGCAGCTTGCACAAAAATCTGAACTGTTTTCAACATTGATGATAATAAAAATAAATGTTTCTTGAGCATCAGATCATCATATTAGAGTGATTTCTGAAGGATCATGTGACACTGAAGACTGGAGTAATGATGCTGAAAAAAATAAACTTTACTGTATATTCACATAGAAAAAAGCTGTTTTACATTTTAATAATATTTCACTGTTTTTACTGTATTTTTTATCAAATAAAGAGTAGAAGAGACTGTAAACTAGGTTGATTGTGACACTGAACTGACCAATCAGCACTTGTCTCTCTGCAGGGGAAGAAGGAGCTGCAAGTGTCTCTGTTTCAGACTCTCGTCCTGCTGATATTCAACGAGGCCGACGAGTGTTCGGTGGAGGAGATCCGTACGGCCACAGGCATCGGTACGTTCAGTGTGAGAGTGAGAGTGAGTGTGTGTGAGAGTGAGTGTGTGAGAGTGAGAGTGAGTGTGTGTGAGAGTGAGTGTGTGAAAGTGAGTGTGAGTGTGTGTGTGTGTGTGTGTGTGTGAGAGTGAGTGTGTGTGAGAGTGAGTGTGTGTGAGTGTGTGAGAGTGAGTGTGTGTGAGAGTGTGAGTGTGTGTGTGAGTGAGTGTGTGAGAGTGAGAGTGAGTGTGTGTGAGAGTGAGTGTGTGTGAGTGTGTGAGAGTGTGAGTGTGTGTGAGAGTGAGTGTGTGAGAGTGAGAGTGAGTGTGTGTGAGAGTGAGTGTGTGTGAGTGAGTGTGTGTGAGTGTGTGTGAGAGTGAGTGTGTGTGAGAGTGAGTGTGTGTGAGAGTGAGTGTGTGTGAGTGTGTGAGTGTGAGTGAGAGTGAGTGTGTGTGAGTGTGTGTGAGAGTGAGTGTGTGTGAGTGTGTGTGAGTGTGTGTGAGTGTGTGTGAGTGTGTGTGAGTGTGTGTGAGTGTGTGTGAGTGTGTGTGAGTGTGTGTGAGTGTGTGTGAGAGTGAGAGTGAGTGTGTGAGAGTGAGAGTGAGTGTGTGAGAGTGAGTGTGTGTGAGAGTGAGTGTGTGAGAGTGAGTGTGTGAGAGTGAGTGTGAGAGAGAGTATGTGAAGTACTCTCAGTAACGTGTTTTGTTGTGTGTGTGTCAGAGGACGGCGAGCTCAAGCGCACTCTTCAGTCTCTGGCGTGTGGGAAAGCACGAGTCCTCAATAAAACTCCCCGAGGGAAAGAGGTGGAGGACGCAGATCGCTTCCACTTCAACAGTGACTTCAGACACAAACTGTTCCGCATCAAGATCAACCAGATCCAGATGAAGGAGACGGTGAGTGAGAGTGTGTGAGTGTGTGAGTGTGTGTGAGAGAGTGAGAGAGTGTGAGTGTGTGTGAGAGAGTGAGAGAGTGAGTGAGAGACACTATTAAGGTGCAGAATTCACGAACCAAAGCCAGCTGTTACAAACATCTGAAAATCACACAAATATTCAATTCAATTCACGTTTATTTGTATAGCACTTTTCACAACACATCATGTCAAAGCAGCTTTACAGACGTGCTCGAGTCCACATTAGTGTACAGGGATCTGTCATCAGAGGAGACTAAGTTATGCATTTCAGAAATCACAGTTAGCAATATTATAATAATTGAATGCAGAAACAATGAGCTCACTGACGTAATGAATACTTGTTTGTTAGAATGTGAATATGCAGATGGTCATGTGACGTGTGAATATGCAGATGGTCATGTGACGTGTGAATATGCAGATGGTCATGTGACGTGTGAATATGCAGATGGTCATGTGACGTGTGAATATGCAGATGGTCATGTGACGTGTGAATATGCAGATGGTCATGTGACGTGTGAATATGCAGATGGTCATGTGATGTGTGATGTCATCCTCAGGTGGAGGAGCAGGTGAGCACCACTGAGCGGGTGTTCCAGGACCGCCAGTATCAGATCGACGCTGCAGTGGTGAGGATCATGAAGATGAGGAAGACCTTGAGCCACAACCTGCTGGTGTCTGAACTCTACAACCAGCTCAAGTTCCCGGTCAAGGTGACGCTCGCGCACATCTGTGACACACATCTGTGACACGCACATCTGTGACACGCACATCTGTGACACACACATCTGTGACGCACACATCTGTGACACACACATCTGTGACACGCACATCTGTGACACGCACATCTGTGACACACCCGGGCTTCAAGACCCTTGCACACTGTGTCTGAAATGTTCACACACACACACACAAAAAAAATTCTAGACAAGCTAATGTTTTACTCGGCGAGTGAATGAGCGATTGGTCCTGCTGAATATTGAGCCGCCCATGTATTCTCATAACTCCCATGATGCCCTGCTCTCTCCCTGTGTAGCCGGCAGACCTGAAGAAGCGCATCGAGTCGCTGATCGACCGGGACTATATGGAGCGGGACAAAGAGAACGCCAACCAGTACCACTATGTGGCGTGAGCTCCGGGTTCCTCCGCAAGGGCTTCTGGGCCGAACCGGCGCGGCGCTCACTGGCGCTCGGCCTTCTGGGACGCTGAGCCACTCTAGCATGATTGCGATTTGCGAATGAGATGCACTTTTCTTTGTGTTTGTTGTTCTTGGACTTTGTTTAGTGTGTGTGTCGAGTCTCTTCTACTGTAGCGCCACGTTACGTGTGTTTCTTTTAGACTTCGGTCGTCATGATGCCAGAATCATGTTGATGATGCGAGTTCTGATGCTGCAGGGTTTGACAGTTACCCGCTCACACACACACACACACACACACACACACACACACACACACACACACACACACTGCTGAGACTCAGTGCAGCCTCTCAAACTCTCATGATAGACAGAAATTATTCTTTTGATAACGCAAGTGTGTGTGTGAGTATGAGAGAGTGTGCATGCGTCAGTGTGTATGAGTTAGAGTGTGTGTATGAGTTTGTGTGTGTGTGTGTGTGTGTATGTGTTTGTCAGTGAATGAGTGTGTGTATTAGTTAGTGTGTATATGTTTGTCAGTGTGTGTATATGTTTGTCAGTGTGTGTGTATGTTTATGAGTTAATATGTGCGTGTGTATGAGTTAGTGTGTATTTCTTTGTCTGTGTGTGTGTGTGTGTCAGTGTGTCTGTGTGTGTGTCTGTGTGTGTGTCTGTGTGTGTGTCTGTGTGTGTGTCTGCGTGTGTGTCAGTGCGTGTGTGTCAGTGCGTGTGTGTCAGTGCGTGTGTGTCAGTGCGTGTGTGTCAGTGCGTGTGTGTCAGTGCGTGTGTGTCAGTGCGTGTGTGTCAGTGCGTGTGTGTCAGTGCGTGTGTGTCAGTGCGTGTGTGTCAGTGCGTGTGTGTCAGTGCGTTTGTGTCTGTGTGTGTCAGTGTGAGCGATTAAGTGTGTGTGTGTGTGTGTGCGCGTGTCAGTGCGAGAGTGTGTGTGTGTCAGTGTGAGCGAGTGAGTGAGTGTATGTGTGTGTGTGTCAGTGCCAGTGTCTGTGAGTGTGTGTCAGTGTGAGCGAGCGAGTGTGTGTGTGAGTGTGTCAGTGTGTGTGTGTGTGTCAGTGCCAGTGTCTGTGAGTGTGTGTGTGAGCGAGCAAGTGTGTGTGTGAGTGTGTGAGTGTGTGTGTCAGTGCCAGTGTCTGCGAGTGTGTGTGTGAGTGTATGTGTGTGTGTGTCAGTGCCAGTGTCTGTGAGTGTGTGTCAGTGTGAGCGAGCGAGTGTGTGTGTGTGTGAGTGTGTCAGTGTGTGTGTGTGTGTGTGTCAGTGCCAGTGTCTGTGAGTGTGTGTGTGAGCGAGCGAGTGTGTGTGTGAGTGTGTGAGTGTGTGTGTCCGTGCCAGTGTCTGTGAGTGTGTGTCAGTGTGAGCGAGCGAGTGTGAGTGTGTCAGTGCCAGTGTGTGTCAGTGTGAGCGAGCGAGTGTGTGTGTGAGTGTGTCAGTGTGAGCGAGTGTGTGTGTGAGTGTGTCAGTGTGAGCGAGTGTGTGTGTGTGTGTCAGTGCGAGTGTGTCTGTGAGTGTGTGTCAGTGTGAGCGAGCGAGTGTGTGTGTGTGTGTGTGATCACCTGTATTCTGACACACACAGTTTTGTAGAGCAGAGGATTCTATTCTTTGTAAGCGGGCGAAGATATGAAAGAATAAATCATATTTAATTAAGATATTATGAGTGGACTGTGTTTTGTTTGCTATTATATTCCTCATTCTGTGTAAATGATGAAAACTATTCCCAGCTTAAACCCTTCAAACATTCAGGCTTTCTCAAGTCAACATCAGAGTTTGTCACAAAAATAATGTCACAATGCAAAAAGAATGCATGTATGAAACGATGATCTTCACTAACTCTCCGGAACCCCTCGTGTGATGCTGTGGGTGCAGCGGTGTGTGTTCCTGTGTGTGTGTGTCGGGTGTGTGTCGCTTGTTTCTGCACGCCCAGTGAAGCCGTTCGTCTCGACTCTCCACACACTCCTGGACTAATGTGATTTTCTGCCTCATTCACAGAGTAATTCCTTGAAGAAACAAATTACGGCCGAGAGCGTGACAGACGGGTCTTTCACACACACACACACACTAGTTATTTCAGACTGAATTGTGCATGCTGTGTGATTTATGATTACAGGACGGCCGTTGTGAATCAGTGACTCGGTGAGGTAGAGATGAAAAAAGTGTCTATAGAAGGTCAAAGGTCAAACCACTAGTTCCTGTGGTATGAGTCACTTCCTCACACACACACATACACAGGTTTACATTAATGCATGTGATAGATGCTTTTATCAAAACTGGATTAAAGATTCTGTTTATTAGTTTTGCCACTGTCACCTCTGGCTTGCTTACTTGGGGCTTAAAAGACAATTAATATCAGTAATAATTATATTAATGAGAATAAAACATGATCTGAATAATGACACTATTGTACAGACAGAGTGTTTCAATGCAGCTTTACAGGAAAATAATGCAACAAAGTTTGTTTCCAGAAGAAAATAGCGTCATTTTTGTCATTTTCCCTTAACAGCAACATGAACACTTCATGACAGGCTGTACTTGTACAGTAAACACAGTGAATGCATCCGTGTAATCCTGTCGCCAGTGTTTATATACACGCGGCAGTGCGCGCGCCGTCACGTGACTCGCAGGGGCGGGGCTAAAGCGCTCACATCACATGACTGGAACATTCTGCCTCATGACACAGTGAATCTGCTGCCAGACGCCGAGGAAACATCACAACTCCGTTTATGAGCTGATTAAATCACTCATATAAACCCACAGCGCCCGTGTTCAGTGCGCAGGCTTCAGTGCGCGGTGGTTATCGCTCGGTTTGGCGCTTTTCCCGACAGACGTCATGACGGTCGTTAAACAGTGTTTTTCTGCAGGTGTCTGGACTCTGCTGATGGGTAAGTCTTTATAACTCACCTTTAAACATCGCGAACTAGTCTAAACCACACACACACACACACGACGGAGATCTCGGTGTTATCGACGTCAAACTGTCATTAGCGCGCGTCAGTTCGAGATTCTTCTGTCTGACTGACTCTGTTTGGTTAAACTCGTTATTGTAGTCAGTTTAATCAGTGTATGTGTGTGATTATGTGTGCCTGTTTCACTTTAGTCCTTTTATTCGCTATTATGTGCTTTCATTTGAGGTGTTTCGTTATATAATTATTTTAAGAACTACATTTCACTTGAGTTGTTTAACGCGCTGCTGACGTCACCTCGGGGCGTCACGTGATCAGAACAATACGCGCGCGTACAGAAATACTTTCAGTCCAAATCACATCTTGCTGAACCATAAAGATTCATATTAATATCCGTCAATAGGCTGGAGAACGAGCTCGGGACGGAAACAGCCAATCAGCGGATCTTTAGATGTCACGTGACTTATCATAAACCATTAAAGACGGGCCTACTGTGAGCTAAGAGGTTGTTCATCGATGGTTTGTTTCTGTTAAAGCACAGTCTGCATTATTTCAACTTTATTTATTTTAAAAGCAATTTTTTAGGCAAGATTCCTGGTGGAGAACTACATTACCCATGATTCTGCAGAAATCTCCACCAATCGGAGAATCGTGACAAGCGCACTGGATTATGTAATCGGGTCTCAAACAGTTTAAAATGTATGCGTAAAAATATTGTTTTGATATACACAATCTGTAGATCAACGGCTTTATATTCCCCATAATTTTAAATGCGATGATGTCATCACACATCACAGGATTGTAGTCCTGTCGTTCATTAAAGATGTTACCTTCAGTCTTATTTTTTTATTTTTGTTTGATTTTTCAAACACTTTTCTAATGCTGTGATTGTCCTCGTCACTGGTTGCTTTGGTTCATGGATTATTAAAACCTCACACACTTACACACAAATTCTCACACACACTCCCTCGCACAATCACACACAATTTTCTCTCACACTCTCTCTCACACACACACAAATACACACACACACACACACACACACACACACACACACACACACACACACACACACACACACACACACACACACACACACACACACACACACACACACACACACACACACACACACAAATTCACTCACTCACTCACACACACTCCCACACACTCACTCACACACTCTCTCCCTCACACACACATGCACTCTCACTCACACACACTCTCCCTCACACACACACACACACACTCTCTCTCCCTCACATGCACTCACACTCTCACACACACACACTCTCTCCCTCACTCTCACACACACTCACACGCACACACACTCTCCCTCTCACACACACACACACACACTCTCTCCCTCACATGCACTCACACTCTCTCCCTCACACGCACTCACACTCTCTCACACACACACACACACTCTCTCACTCACACATACACTCACACATGCACACACACACACACACACACTCTCTCCCTCACACATTCTCTCCCTCACACACACTCTCCCACACACACGCACTCACGCACACACTCTCACTCACACACTCATACACGCGCGCACACACACACACACTCCCACCCACCCACACTCTCCCTCACACACACATACACTCATGCACGCATACACTCACACACACACACACACACTCTCCCTTACACACACACTCTCACACACTCATACACGCACTCACTCAAAAAATAAGCAAACACAAGCTCATGTTCACCAGTCGAGCCTTGACCTCCGGCTCAAACCTCATTTGTGGTTCTTCACACTCTCACACACACACACACACACACACTCGCGCACACACACTCACTCACACTCACTCTCACACACACTCGCCTGGTTCTGATCAGTCATGTGACATGCGTTAGTTATTCACATAAACACTGTTATTAAACTGATTATCAGTCTCTGTTCCTCACTCAGTGATCATGTGACTCCAGAATGATCTGGACGGGACTCAGCCTATTGTTCCCTTGAGCTGCTGTTCATCATCGTGTGTGTGTGTGTGTGATCAGCTGCTCTGGTGAATCACACTGATTATCAGCAGAACCCGGTGGTTCGGTCCAGTGTAGCTGGTGCGTGAGTGAGTGTGTGTGTGTGTGTGTGTAAGACACTTCATGATTTCACAAACTCTCTGGTTCATGCTGAGATTTCACAAGAGTTCCCCTTCACAGTTACAGCATTATTACAGTTTAAGCAGAAGTTTATGAATGAAACAAACACTCGCACGATAAGAGTGTCGTCCACATGCCAGATCTCGCGGCCGAAGTGAAGCTTTATTTGATGAACTGGCGGAGGGGTTTTACTGTTAGAAGGTTTTCTCTGTTGTACAGGATTTGTTTGCCAAAAAATAAGAGGAATTGTTATTTTCACTTGGTTACCCTGATAAATGTGTCATCAAGCAAAACAGACACACATTTTCTACAAAGATCATGTTTATCATTGATTAGTTTTATGAAATGCATTGATTAGATGTTCTTTTTGGTTATAAAAATGTAATTAAGCCATTAAAACGGA